TCAGACAACAACGTCCTTGGTAGATAAATAACTGAAAGGTTTTACCAGGAAATAATATAACTATATTCGTATGTCGTGCGTATTTAAGGAGAAAAATATACTTAATTCTTCTACATATATTTTTTTTTGGGTAAGATTTTTTTTTTAAAATATATTTTAAAGTTTCGTAGCCAAAAATTTATTGAATATCAAATTACAGTTACCTGTCTCAGATCTTACTAAAATTTGAAATTCAGTCAATGAAAATACTGTGATCTTAAAAAAAAAAAATTCAATGGGTATTGGATAGATCATATGCTATCCATTACAAAATTACCTTTCAAGTAAGATAAAGAGTTTGACAATGAATCCAGCGATGGTTAAATTGCTAAAGAAAACAAAAATCATATTAGTTCGGGTTTAGAATGGTAATCAATTTAAAAGAACAATAGAATGGTAAAAAATTAATCAATTGAATTGGGGTAAATTGATTGCATATGGTTGAATAATTTGTCAAAATCTCTTTCTGGTAACAAAGAATTAAAATTATTTTATGTCTTAACACTATTTCAAGATAAAGAAAACATTATAAATAATTTTCTAACCCGTTTTTCTTAAAACAAGAAGGGATCCAGCGATTGCATTAGATATATCACTATTATCATAATCCCCCTAATTTATATATTTTAGGAAGTTATAAAGGGGGTTTTATATTTTAAAATAAGTTAAAACAAATTTTCATTGAAGAAAATCGTTACAAATCTAAGTGAGCAAATAGTAGGAATTTCAGGACATTTTAGAAATCAAATTCTTTTTTAAATGTATTTTGAAGAACAACATTGATCGTCTTCACACACTACGTCAACATGCATTGATCGTCTTCAACATGCATTGATCGAAGGGTCTGTTCTTTTCTCTCACGCTGCGTAGCGGCATGCGACCACAATTAAACGGTAAACGGCAGCAACGAAACAGTAGAAAAAAAAAAGGTGACGCTGCGGTTACTTTTGTAGTAGGTCTGTTCTTCTCTTTGTCGCAGGTGACGCTGAGAAAAAAACAGTGTTAGATCGGAGTAGCCGCTGCGGTTGTTGTTATGACTTATTCTCTACACACTTAAGCTGTAAGTAACTAATTATAGAGCTTTTTATTCGGTGGCTCCTGCTGACGCAGCGTCCAGTAAAAGAACAGATCCTTCTTCAAAGAGCCCTGCATTAAAAACACTAGTCCTGTCCAGTGTCCACTACTACCCGTTATTATGACTATCACATCAAATCAAGAGCCACTATCTTTCTTCGTAATCTCCTTTGAAATATTTTCCAGCGACAACGTGGTGTTGGTGTCGATGATGTTGTATTTGGGGCTAGTTTTAGATATAGACATAAGCTGCTAAGAAATTTTAATATATCATATTTGTAAGAGTTTATGGAGAAAGTTTGTATAAGTCTTCCTCGGAATTATTTCACGAGTAACTACGATGGCTTGGTCGGGATATAGTGATCGTATAAGATGTTGGTAAATCAACTGGAGTGACGATAAATTACAACGTCTACAACACTGATTAGATTGAGATGGATTGAACTTTTAGCAGGAAAAAAAAAGATTGAGATGGATTCTGAATGATAGGATGATCATAAAAATATATTTTATCATCATTTCTAAATCCGTTATAGTTTAAATATCATTTTCCGGCTGTTGTAAGTATATTTAGTGTAAATACAATATGCCTAAAAAAATTTGTGACAATGGGATCTCACATATGAAACTTAGAGCATCTCTTTTAGTGTGATCTATGTTGGGTTTCATAAGAATAGTTTAATAATTTTTTTTAGAGAGAGAAAAAGCTAAAATTAATTACACAAAATTAAAAAAAAAAAAAAAATAAACGTCCAATGAACGCATGCCATATGTCTTAAGAGATGGTCTCTTCAGCTCCTTATCTAAGGAGCTCTCCTTAAGAAAAATAGGCTTATACAATTTTTTTTAATCTTCTTACCTATAAAACTGAGTCATAAATGGGTTAAAAAACTCTGATGGAGGTGCTCTTATGAAGCATGTATTTGCGTATTAAAATAATGAGTGAAAAGTACGAATCAACATATATATATATATATATTCGTCCAAATCGTAAGGATCATTAGTTCCCTCTGATTTCGACAAATGATCCTGACTAGTTTAATAAGATGTCTTTAACAAAAAAATGTTTAAGAGGCCCCAGACTTTCTGTTTTGGGAAGAAAGCCTCAAGCGCTACTACATACAAAACTTTCACTGTAGCCTATTCATAATTTTTGTTACTTTCATGCTAATGCATTCGTTTGTCTCTACTTCCCAATCCCAAGAAACAAAATATGAGCATGCATGGAAGATAAAGGCTTCGAATGGTGAACATATATGAAATTATGCAGATAAAGCAGAATCAATGCAAATCAAGTAGATTATGCAGATCAATAAAAACATAAATATAAATTAATAAAATAATTATAAAATATAAAAGAAATGCAGAACTGGGTGAACATGTCCAAAAATGATGCAGTCCATTTTTTATTTAATATGAAGAGTAATATAGATCTGTATGCAGATTATCATTTTTTTATTCTAATTTTGATCTGTGTTTTTTAAGACATGAATGGTAAATAAAATGCAGATGTCCTTACATGCAGTTACTCTGTGTTTTTGCTGCATCCCATTCACAGCCAAAACTGTTGGGGGTGAATCTCATGTAACTGGTAGCCGCTAAATCACAATATGAGACAGGAGTCTCAGACTCAAACCCATCATTTAAAGAGTTTAGTAAATAGCAAATGATGAGACGTTATCACTTTCACCGACGTGGATCGAAGGGGAGACATCATCATCTCAGCCACAGTCATGCTTGTTGTAATGGCGTGTTCTAGTGATTAATCTATAAGAGTTGAACCATGTGGCTTATGCGGCTAGATAATATAGCTCAACAACCTATCAGTCTACTATAAAATGTTGATCAGCTATCCGAATCTAGTGAAGGTGTAAGTTATAAATATCATATATATATTTCATTAGAGCAGTAAATCCCTAATTTTGAGGGTGATACATCCTTAAAATGAAGGTTTGAAAGTGCATTGCCCAATGGTAAAACCTTAAATCTATTTTTTTAAAAATTTATATTTTACATTATAGTTTTAATTTTCATAATAATTACTAAATAATAAAACTATCATAAATAAATTTAAAATACATTTTTGTGTATTTACCAGATTATTAGTATTGTAGTATGGTTTATTTTGTGTAATATTTATATGTTTATGCAATTTCTATTTCTTGTGTTGATTTATTTTGTGTGTTTTAATGTATTTTTATTATGTTTAATTATAAAAATGTCATGTAATATATCTTTTATATTAGTAATTTTAATATTAAATTTTAAGTATTTATTTGATTTTTACTAATGATATTTAAATTTATAAAGATACATTTTACATTTAGAAGATATTTAATTGTATGGACTAAAATGAAAAAAAAAATAAAAAAGTAAATTTATTGATAAAATATATAATTGTAGGGATTAAAAAATAAAGTAAACAATGTTTAAAGAGTGAATAGTGGATTTGAGGTTTCGCTATTCAAAACCTCAAAATTTAAGAGTTTAATGGTTGGATTGGAACACAAAAAACTTTAAATTTAAAGGTTTAAGAGCTGGGTTGGAGTTGCTCTAAATTCGACATAAAAAAATTATATTAGTCTATATATTAGTTTAACTTTTTCTTAGACTTCTTTATATTAATCATCAAAAAATCACAAAGAGACTGATTGGTCAAAGTAAAAGTAAAACGTGATAGAAGATTTTTTTCCCGGTTGTATCTACCACCAAAAGGGAAATCTTTTTTGTTATCAAATAAAACAATTTTTAGCTGAATATTTGCCTGTAATATTTAAGGGTGAAAAATTTTTCCAACTTGTTCTATATATATAAAAAGAATTCCTTTTAGCGGTGGATCCAACAAAGAAAATTGCACCTAATCTAATATTTACATTTACTAATTAAACCTCAAAAGTATAGTCTTAAAGTTGTTTTTTGTTTCATAAAGAATGTTTTTGTTATATCTTCATACATTAGAATTTTATGTATATATTAGCAAAGGATAATGATGCCAACTAAATACATGCGTGCTCCAACTTTGGAACCAGCTCATCTAATCTCTAACTCTCCAAATCTAAATGATAAACAGAAAGATAAATAATTCACTCCTACTTATATCTCCTATCAGCTAATTTCAAATTTCAAACCTAAATCATTTCAAAATTATTGCCAATTGTTATTATGCATCTTAGCTACCATGCCGTCAATATCCAGAAAAATCACATTGTTATAGGTTTGTACAATTTACATTTGTATAAGTTTCTTGTCAGATAAAAAGAATAATAAATTCACTATTGCCAAATAGACTCTATAAAAAATCTACAGTATCAATATCCAGCATTCGTGTTTTCAGTTATTTTTTCCAATAGAATATCAAATAACACGTGTAAAATATCATTAAAACCACGAAAATGAATATACATACACATTAGAATATGAGACCACCAAAAACACATTCATATTGCTACATGATTCTTTGATTTATTTTTTCGTAAAAAAAATGGTACCATCCTACCATGTATAACGACGACATAAACAATTCTGGAAATTATATAAAAAATTGTAGAAGACAGAACAACAAAAACTAAAAACAATTCTCTAAAAAGAAACATTGAATAAAAAACGAGAAAAGCAATATATAACACATAAGTAAGTCTTGGAAAAAAAAAGGTAAGACTTAGGAAAAAAAAGGAAAGAAATATTTAAGTTGATTTGTCTCACTAATTTAATAGGTGAGGAAGTTAGGCTTTTGACCCCACAAAATCTGTTAAGCCAATTTTCGTAAAATATTTTCACAGCTATTTTCCAGCCTGTTTCTTTCACACCAATTTTCCATTTTTATAGCTTTCTTCAAATGCCTTTCTTCTTCACCGTTTCTACTCCAATCCCTCTCTTAAACCCTAAATCAGTGCATGAGGGTTTTTGTGTTACTTTGCTTTACCTCTCACTAATTGAAAATCCACCGAGAATTCAATCTTCAATTCAATGGATCCCTGCACTTTCGTACGCATCATCGTCGGGAATTTAGCCCTTAGGTTTCGGGGATCACCGTCGTCTTCTTCGTCGACTTCCTCATCGGGACCGTCTGTTTCGGACGTATCATCTGGTAATTGCTACTGTAAAATCAAATTCAAGAGCTTCTCACGCCAGATCGTCGCTGTTCCCGTTCTGTTGCGAACCGAATCCGAGTCGGAGCCCCGGTGCTGCTCCGGTAACGTCTCAGCCGTTGCAGCTTGCTTCACTTTAAGCAAGGCAATCGAGAGGTCTCTGAAGAAGCCTAAATGGAGTGTCGTCTCCGTCGAGGTTTATTCTCGCGTTGCGTCGTGTGGAATCGTCGCTGGTTCCGGTGAGAAGCTGATTGGTCGGTTCGAGGTTTCGCTGGATTTGAAGACGGCGGAGACTAGGACGTGTTTGGCTCACAACGGCTGGGTTAAATTGGGCACTAAGTCGAAGAAGAAGACTAAGTCCGGGTCGGATCCGGAGCTCCATGCTACTATACGGGTTGAACCCGACCCGAGATTTGTGTTTCAGTTCGACGGCGAGCCTGAGTGTAGTCCTCAGGTTTTACAAGTCCAAGGGAACACAAAGCAAGCTGTTTTCACTTGCAAGTTCGGATTCAGAAACTCCGGTGACCGGAATCTTACTCCAAGGTCAGTAATCATTAAAATTTATATTTTTTCTAGAGATTGTTGGAATTTTGTGTGATCTTAATAGTTTGGTGTCAAAATTCTGCAGTTTATCTTCGTTGAGCATTGGAAAGGAACAGACTTTGAAAGAGAGAAAAGGTTGGTCGATAACAATCCATGATCTCTCTGGCTCACCAGTAGCTATGGCTTCAATGGTCACACCTTTCGTACCATCTCCCGGTTCGAACCGCGTCACTCGGTCTAGCCCCGGCGCGTGGTTAATCCTCCGACCTGATGGCTACACAATGAAGCCATGGGGTCGACTCGAGGCATGGCGTGAGTCAGGAATCTCAGACGTTCTCGGTTACCGGTTCGAGTTTTTCAAAGATGGAACAGCGACTGCAATCTCGGCATCGTCGTCGATGAGTACAAAACACGGCGGGAGTTTTGTCATCGACGGAACCATCACCACCGCCTCCACCATGGCGGCTGCTTCTTTGAGTCTCTCGGATGGAAGTTTTGATCTTTCGTCATGCTTGAGTACCGGATCATCAAGAACCTGTTCAGGATCCGGGTCGGATTTCGGGTTTCTTGTGCCCCAAGCGCAACAAAACTTGGGGTTTGTCATGTCGACGATGGTGGAAGGAGTGGAGAAACAGAGCATGCCTAAGGTGGAGGTGGGTGTGAAGCACGTGACATGCTTGGAGGATGCCGCCGCGCACGTGGCACTAGCAGCGGCGGTGGATCTAAGCTTGGATGCTTGTAAGCTCTTCTCTCGTAAGCTAAGGAAAGAGCTTAGACAGCTAAGTTCTATTGGTAGCGTTTGACGTTTCATGCGCTTTGTCCATTTGACATAGGAGATTAGTTGTCCACTTGCCCTCTTCCACTAGACAAATTTTTGCTTCTAGTGGAAAAAGAAAGGAAGGATAAGTATTTTTTTGAATTTTATGTTAAAGGTTAGACTTTAGTTAGAGTTTTGACTTAACAGCGAAGTATTTGCTGTCATCAAAAAAAGGAATTATCAACAAAACACCTTTCATTTTCACGTTATCTATCAGAAGATGTTCACTACTTCATATTCACCTACTATTCTTGAAGAACAACATTTTCCTTTTATTGTTCCCAGAAAATCTCTCAATACCAAAACATAGGAGAAGAAAGTAATAAAAACAGAGGATCAGAGCAGAGTGACCAAAACAGAGTATCAATTGACAATGGAGTATCTTATCCCTTTTTATAACAACTATAGTTTATCACAATGAACATTCTTCCGCAATCGGAAAACATCGATATATATATATATATGTATATATATTGTTTCTTCAAAACAAACAAATATTGGAAACTCACAAGATAGAACAAACAATATATTGCAAACATTAGTCACACTATATGTAAACATTTGTCGTAAGGAACATGATTTTACTTATTCTTGACTCGCAATGAGTTGAGGAAATCTTACAACAATAGTGTTAAAGACTTGCTCTCTATCCTTTGCTGAAGAGAGTCTGGAACTGTGCGATTGAGCTTTGGGTTTCCACTTAAATTTCTACAAATGAAAAAGACTAAATGTTTAAGAAAAGAACAGAAAGAGAAGACAGAGAGAGAGGGTGTTAATCACAGAAGCTCACATGAGTGTCAGCAACTTCATATCAGCAAAAAACGCTGGAATCTCTCCTGATATATCGTTGTTTGATAAATCTCTGTACATTGAAGAGAGAAAGATTGCAGAGTTATTGTCCTTCTCACTCATAGCGATATAAACCATACCGAATACTTAAAAGTTCATTGGTGTTACAGTTTCGGATGCTTACAGCTCTCTCAACCTTGTTAGCTTGGATATTTTATGTGTTATGGTACCTGTCAATTCGCTTGCCGTCAAGTTCCTGAGAAAGTATCAAAATTTTTAAAAAAATCGGAACTTATGGAAAACCCCAAAATTAAGAGCCTTTTTGATAAGAAAAGAAAACAGAACATACAAGGATATGATCAACGGTGGCTCGGAGTCTGGATAACTGCAGTTTACACCTTCCCACCGATAAGATTGAGGAGCACATACATCTCCTTGCCAGCTTATCTTTCTGCTCAATCCATATGTTGTCTTGATGTTCATCATAGCAGAAACTGATCATCATTCAAAGAACCAGAGATAGTAAAAAAAGACAGATAATCTTGGTCATGAATTAAACAACGGGTTTTAACTTACCTTCATCTTGGTCTGTCTCAAGTTGTGGAAAGTCCAAGACTTTATAGATCTCGAGGCCGTTAATAAGAGGAGGAAGAGTTGAGTTACCGGTCATGGCGAAAGTGAAATTGAATTTCCCATTAGGAGAACTCACAGGTCTTGGATTGTACACAGTTGTTATGCTAAGTTTTGGAGGGCTAAAGAAGGTGAACCAACGTAAGCCACCATTGTAAGTTATGTCGAACTCTCTGGTCTCATTAGCTTCAAGATTCTGGATTTCAGCGAAATGCATGTATATATATGATTGTGCTGTGATATCATCGAGAGTCCACTCTAAATTCAGATTCTGACTAGCATTTTCAGGGATCATAGCGGATTTCGCTGCGAGTTGAGGCACATTGTAGGAGTTACTTGTATCCACAGGAAGGTCCGTGCTTAACGAAGTTGTTTTCTCATCAATGTATGGCATCCAGATTCGGTCATGGATGTCCTCATCATACCTATAGAAAGGTGAGAGAGAGAGAGAGAGCTTACTTTTGTTGATTTTCAAAGATAAAGAACAAAACAACCAATAACATCAACCTTTAATTTACCTGAGAAACGATGGAGTGGGTGAGAAGTAAACTCTCGCGAACCGCATCAACGATCCACTTTGAGTGACGTAAGTATTGTTGTTCAACGGACGAAGTTCCAAGGAAGAAATAAACGGTGTCGTTTCTCCTGTTTTGACAAGACAAACTTGGAGAAGGTCTTGTGATAAGACATGGATGATCTCGTGTATTGAAGCATTTCCAACTCCTCGGATTGAAACAGGGGTCCATTTGGTAGGACCAATGTGGAGATCAAAGCTTGGGAGTTGATTCAGACCGTCGTAATTCCCATACACAAAGGTTCCTCTGATCAGATATTTCCGGTTCCTTGTTAGGTTGAAGCTGTAACAGTTTCTTTGACCCTCAGGGAAGCTTCTTAAGTTCCAAGTTTGTTGCTGAAACTGAGTCATTAAGGTATCATTGATCCTCCCGACCACTCCACTGTCGATGTAATTCCCGTCTGATGTGTATGTTATATTCGTCGTCTTCTCCGTGTAAGTTGTGTCTTTTGGGACCAACCCACAATCCAAGCTGATGAATCCTGTTCAAGAAAATTTAATAATTTATAGTAGTGATCAAGGTAACTTGGGTTGAAAGATATGTATTTTGTGTGAACGGATGAATATTCTCCATCTCTGATATTTTTTTTTGTGCCAACACAGTTCCATCATTATGAGACTTAATTTACCTTATGTGAATGTTAGGAAGAGGATACTTGGAAAAATATATTAAAAAGCGTTTTTTTACAAAAAAATTTAATCTTGTCTCTAGTTTTCTCCAAGATTTACCACAAACGTTAAAAGGGTGCTTTTTGATCAGCTGCAGAGGAATCAAATTGGAAACAAAAAAATAAAAACCTGATTGATCTTGAGGTTGGACAGATTGAAGAAAGGCCAAAGTTATGATCAAGAGGAGCAAAAACCTATTAAGAATCTTCATTTTTTTGGGTGGATATTACTCTATTCAAAGGAGGATTGTTCTTGTTGGGCAAAGTCGCAAAGATTACACCAAAGATATAAACTAATCTGGGTCTGAAGGGTTTTGTAAACTTTGGGTTAAGTCTTGAACATTTATATTAATCAGGCGATAATTTTGATTTTTTAATAAAGATATTCATAGAATCGGGTATCTGAGTTTCGTCTGACTCATTCAGGGGTTGAGTAAGTATTATGAAAACTCTAAATTTCCCAACTAGGGCAAAACCCTTAGACCGAGGTTTAAGTGGCTGAGTGATCCACATAGGGTGTTGGAGTCGAGTTTGGGTCTATATAACGAGTTTAAGCCCTTGCCCTTTGGTACTAATGTCAAAAGCACAGTGCCATTCCGCTCGAGTTTGATTGTAAATGTAAATTTCTTTGCCTACACTAATATAAGCAGTGAACAAGCCATACGTACCTTTACTTGGCTACGACTTTTTTTTTCTTCCTGAAGGGTTCAACTTAGAATAAGTGGCGCGCAGAAATCAAGAAAAACAATAAACAAATATATAGAAAACGACAAAGGGAGAATGAGTAAATCTTGTTTCTTGCAGTTGCTGAGTCTGTTAATACGTAATGGAACACAATCTATTAAGCAAACCTAATTTTCCTTTTTTTTTTGTTTGTTGATGAATTTCCTATTAAAAAAGCTTTTAAGCAATCCTTAAGGAACCCAATTGGCCTCATTTGACCTTTTAAAAGTCCCCAACATTTTAGAAGTAGTCTAAGTTTTGCTGCATGACATAAACAAAACTATTCATTAACTTTTTTTTTTTTATCACTTTCTTTTTTAGCAAGTTCAATCTTTTGACAAAATACCTCTTTCACTTTTCAATAGTCGTTCACTCTGAATATGTAGAATCCAAAGGTTATTTTTTTGTTTTGTTTTGTACTTTTGTAAATATCATATCTCTAGTTCCCTACTTTTTCTTTTTTGAACCTTTCTAGTTCCCTACTTCATTCACCTGGAATCTTGAAGAAAAATGTTTCTCTTTTTTTTGTTGATCTAGAAAAATCTTTTGAAGAACAAAGTAATAAAAACAGAGGATCCAAGTGACCAAAAGGTCCAAAACCGAGCAAGTGATATTAGGTCTGAAACCACAACATGTGATATTAGTTTTGTGACTTTTGTTTCAAGCGTCACTCGATCCGGTAACGTCTAGGCAGAATATATACAAAACAAGATTTTGTCTTTTATGTTCTATGGTCTTTCTTTTGTCTATTGAATTACATCTATGTTGAAATACATTTTCTTGTAAACACAAAACTATCAAAATTCCTTATGTTGCTTGTAAACAATGACAGTGACTTGCAAGATCAACCAAGTTCCGACTTTTTCTACGTGGGACGAGTTCTGCCTCATACAGCTCAAGCCGAAGGTTGGTCAGCAAAGGAACGAAGGGGAAGAGCTGCACGATTTCTAAGAAATGCTTACGGAGTGGAAAGCGCAGATGGCTTAGACCAAGCGGTCCTTTGCCTTAGTACGCTAGCTTTCTAAGCCGGGGCATGGATTGATTGTGGCGAAAATGGGACTAATCCTCTGTACTGTAATAGAAGGGTCTATGTACATTGAAAAATGAAGAGCGTGAAAGACTAAAAGATCTTGACCACCTTGTTACCAGTACCGTACGTATATATACGAAAAATTCTTACAAATGTATTTGGTAGAAATATTTTTCATCAATTTCGTACGCAATTATGACGAAAAATAAAAGTGGTAGGAAATAGGTAAGAAATTTTCTACAAAAAGAAAATGTCAAAAAGTGGTAGGATATATCCAACCAATAACCTACCAAATTTATATTCGTAGAAAATATGGTCAAAATTTGGTAGGAAAGTTGTAGGATCCAATTGACTGTTACACTGGTGGAAATTTCGTAGGAAATTGACTTACGGATTTCCTACGAAATATTATTTGTAGAAAAATCGTAGGAATTTTGTAGGAAAATATGTCTTTTTCTTTGTCTCACATCGAAAAGTTAAGAATTTAGATGAAGAAACTGCACTATAAAAAGAGCAAAATTAAAATTTTCTACGGATTTCCTACGAAATATCGTTTGTAGAAAAAATCGTAGAAATTTCGTAGGAAACTTATGTTTTTGGATTTGTCCCACATCGATAATCTAAGTTAATTTAGGTGAAGAAGTTGCTCTATAAATAAGAGTCTTCACCTTCTCTCCCTCTAATTAATAATTACTTAGTCAAATTTTAGGCTCATAGTAATTAGAGAATTTATTTTGTTTTTTTTAGTATATTTCATTAATCAAATTTATAATTAATTTATATTTTAATTTAAATTCAATTTCCGATATTAATTGATTTTTTTATTTTTATAAAATTATATTGGTAGGAAATTGGTAAGAAATTAGTAGTAAAAGATTAGTAAAAAAATCGTAAGAAATAGGTAAGTGATGTTTCGTAGGAAATTGGAAGGAACACTAATCGATAGAAAATGGTAGTAATTTGGTAGGAAAGTTCTACTAAAATTTTCGTAGGAAAACTATCCTACCAACATTTTCGTAGGAAACTTCCTACCATTTTCTTACCTATTACAATTTCCGACGGCCGATTTCCTATGACAAAATTTCGTAGGAATTTGGTAAGAAATGGTCGTTTCCTACGTTTTTCTGACGATATTTTCCGTAGGTTTTCGGCATGTTTTTTTGTAGTGATATCTTAGTAGTGGCTATGCATGTTAGAGTCTTTCTTCCAAAGATCTCGACCACCTTGTACCTCCTTCTATATCTAAGCTTCTATCGGATACAAAGAAATACAGATACTAGCTAACTTTAATTTATATTTATCGAAGCAAATCATTAGAAGTCATCTAAAACCTTATCCAAGTTCAAAACATTTTTATAGTAGGTCCATTAATATAAAGTAGATCAGTTTTTTGGTTTCGGTTCAAAAATATGTAATATATATGTTTCTGTACTTAACTGATTATAAATCAGATTGTTTTATGCTCGCATGTGATGTGATGAATCTTGTAGAATTCAGCATGGTGAATTCACGGTCCATTATCTTATCCACTTGGCAAAAAAAAGTGAGTGTAAAAAATAAGAAAGACTAATTAGCCCCTTCTCTTATCTTTCTGGTATTTAAGTACCTCAGTCTTTCTTATTTTTTACACTCACTTTTTTTTAAAAAAAAATAGTATATATTATTAATTAAAGTATATAGCATATGGAAAATTGGTACAAGTGGTATCTAAACTAATTCAGTATATATGCTGTATGCAACACTATGAATGTTTATGTCCGATTCACGTTGTAACCGGCGGAGGATCACGGCCATGCACATGCCATATATACCATGGCCATGCACATGCATTATCAGTTGAAGAAGAAACATAGATTAGAGATTTCTTCTTCTTTTTTTTTCTTGATAGGTTGACTTTTCATGTATATATTTTTTTTAATTTGAAGGTTTAATCTATATATAGTATTTCTTTTTATAATAAAAGTTGAAGATATAAGCTTTTCAGATCTATTGGTCCACATCAACATATTTAAAATTAGAAAAGCTTCACAAATTTCGATTATTGTTATTAAAAATATTAAAAATAAGAAATTATGTATAAATTTTTCATTAACAATAATAAACCAACATGAATTAAATTGTACATAACTTAAACTGTTATTTTCTAATTTAATAAATTATGAATTATATAGATTTATACCATTAAGCAAATTCAAAAGTGATCCCTATTAACATAGACAATTACTCTAAATGAATGAAAGGGTTCGAAAAACAAATTTCAAATCTTACATAACTTAAAACTGTTATTTTCTACTTTATATATTATTAATTATATATATTTAATAATATATATTTGTTAAATTTTGTAGTTTTTATTTGTTCTCCTATTAGAGCATCTCCAATGTATTCCACCATTTTTATCTCCAAAATGGAGGAACTGCAAAATAGAGTTGGATTTCTCTCCAATGTATTCCTCTATTTTCAACTCCAAAAAGAATATTATAAGTATATTCTTTATTTTTATTTTATTGTTAATTACTAATAATGCACTTTATTTATAAAAATTACAAATGAACCCATTATTTTTTTCAGTTAAAACTTCTATAAATTACAATATTATTTTAAATTCAACTATTATAATATACAAATAATACTACACACCATTTAAAATAATAAGAAAGTACATTTTAATTTTATGTATTTTTTATGTATTTTTAATTTTATATTATTTCTAGTTTCAGTTAATCTTCTTATATTTTTTATTTTCTATTCTCAAATTTTAAATCTATCTATCTTTAATTTTAAATTAAATATATATAATATCAAAGATTAAATTATAAATAAAAAATATAGTTTTAAGAATTAATGAAAAGTAAAGAACTATCTTGTAAATAAAAGAGTTTACCTGCAAAATGGAGTTGAAAATGAGATTGCTCCATATTTGGAAGAAAAAGTGGTATTCCTCCATTTTGCAAGTGAAAATGGAATAGGATTGGAGAAGAATTTCTTCCAAAATGACATTTAGAGGAATAAATGGAGTAGGGTTGGAGATGCTCTTATAGAAGACGCGATCTATTTTATATATATAATTTTTATAAATGGTTATAAATGAAACAGTTTAGAAACAGCTCAAAAAGCACCAAAACAATATAATAGTGATTTCTAGGATTTTCAATATTAAGTGAATGATAAAAAAGTTAAATTTTCTGGAAAACATTAAATTGCATATCTGTCTTGTGTTGAAAGTGAATAAAATAGTTACAAAGAAAAGATACGATTTTGTAAAAAAAAAAATTGAATTATTAAAAACAGTTATAAGTGAAAATATGTATTTATTACCAAAAATTACAATTTACATTGCAAAAGGTGGCGCAACTAAGAGTTTCAAATGACAAACAAAAAACAGATAAAAAGGTCTAGATGAAATATCGATGGGTAAGAGTTTCAATGAACCATTCGGAGAGGAGGTTTGCGGACGCTTTCCTTTTTTTTGCAAGCAATTATGGTGACATGGATGCTACAATGAGTCTGGCGGAACACCTCATTGGCCGTTAAGACTATTGTTGCATTCTTTTCAGGCATGAAGATGGTTTTTAGGACTGCAATACGGTTTAAAATAGTTGATATTCACGATATTAAAACGCGTTAACTGACCATGGTGAAAATATGAGGTTTGGTTGGCCTAGCCGTGCAAGAACTTGACTTCAAACTCAATTACTGAATTCAATAGTCAGAATGAGGTGATATCTTGTCTCTTGCATGAAACATTCTCTCACAATGATAGAATCATGGAACCGATGGGAGCTAAGGACGAGGAACAGATCGAGGCTCAGCCCGGAATACAAGACCAAGTGGCCGAGCTAAGCGAAGTCGAGGTTCAGGACGGGGTACAAGACCAAGGAGCCGACCAGAACGACGTCCTGGCCATGCCAACTGGACCGATGACCAGGTCGCGTACCAAGAAGCTCACAGGAGCAATCCAGCAAGTTCTCACCGAGCTAAGGAACCAAGGCCGAGCTGACGACCTAACACCCATTCACAAAGTCATGACCGTTCTCATGTACTCTGGTCCGAACTGACCTGGTTGGGGTGTTGTGTTAATACTCTTTTTCCTTACATTCGGTTTTGTCCCACTGGGTTTTCCGAATGAGGTTTTAACGAGGTTAATACACACCTATCTCACGACCATGGATCGATTCGCGGCCAAGTATAACGGTCAAGGAAACTCAAAAGTCTAGCGAGAGGACGCGAAGGGTCATCCGGAAATCCAATCATTATTCAACGTATCTTTAGATTCATTTAGTTTCATTTAATGTCTTTTAATTCACTGTGTATGACCGATGGTCTCCTTTAGCCTCTATATAAAAAGCATCGATGTACTCAGAATAATCATCACTTATCTTTTATAAAATCTCTCTTTTGAGTTTTCTCTTTTGTTCTTCAAGAACTTTGTCGATATTTTGGTGGTTAGCCATTGATCGATTTTCGGTTTATCAAGTAGTTTCATCCTGCTTGACGCAGCCTTCGATTCCAAAGTGTGAGAGAGAGTTGTAGTCATATTTGGGGCTTAGGGAATTTCGAGACTTATCTCACACCCTAACATCCGATATCGCAATCCTTAATCAACTTTGTCCATCCCCTCATTTTCAAACCTTTTCTTTTGGAATTGGGCCTAAGGATTTTCGAGCTCTTGCTCACGCCTTAGCATCTCTTTCACGAACCGGTTTGAATTCAAGGCCTATCAACCTCAACCGAGCCAAGTGTGTGACAATTCTAGGACGGTCTTCTATCAAGTGGTATCAGAGCCACGCACTTGTGAATCGGTACTATCTTTCTTTTCTTTTAGAATTCTATCTTTTCTCATCTTTCTCTTGTAAATCGATCATTTAAAAAAAAAAAAAAGGAAGTTCAAATGTCAAAAAAGAAAGAAGTCCAAAAGTTAAAAAAAAAAAAAAACGATCAGAATTCTTTTCTTCCTATCTATTTTTCTTATCTCTTAAAACGTCTAACTTGCTTGATTCACCGATTCGATTGAGGCTTAAGTCGATTTGTCGATTTAGTTTGCTTAGAACCGGAGAGAAACTCTAGTGTGTTGTGAGGTCATTAAGAGAGTGAGTGAACAAAGAGGGAAAACACTTGTGAGGAATTTGATTACTAACGTGTTTGTTTAATTTTTGCGAGGTACTTGTATGTCATCCGATTTCTCTTTGGACGATTGTGAGTTCTATACATTCCGAGACGACAATCACGTTCGTTGGTACACCCCAGAGAGATGGAAGCCAAGCTTAATCAGATCACCGAGATGATGGAGCGCATGAGCCAACGAATGGAGCGACTTGAAGGTCAGCCGAGGCCAGCAGAAGTAAACGATCAAAACCGTGAGGAACCTATACACATCCGCCGAGATCGGAACCAGGAACCTGAGATCGACAACCCTTTCTACGACAACAACCATTCATCTGGTAGTAGCCGAGTGAGACCGCGAGGCAACCGAATGTTTCGTGGCCGAGCTGGAGGAATCCGAGACCGAGGAAATGCCATGCCCGCGAGAAACCCAAACGACCGTTATGAAGGAGGACGGCCACAGCAGCGTTACGAAGCCGAACCGGCCAGAGGCCGAAACGACAACAACCTCGGAGGAATGAAGCTCCGGATCCCAGCGTTCTATGGCAAGAGCGACCCGGACGCCTTCCTGGAATGGGAAAAGAAGGTAGACATCATCTTTGGATGTCAAGATCTTCCAGAGAGGAAGAAGATAAACCTAGCTGCTTCAGAGTTCAACGGCTACGCGATCGATTGGTGGGATCAGATCGTGATCAGTAGAAGAAGAAACGGAGAACGGCCTGTTGAAACCTGGGAAGAGATGGCTACTTTAATGAGGCAACGGTTCGTGCCCGCGCATTATCAACGCGAGCTGCACACCAAGCTCAGATGTCTTACTCAAGGAACCAAGTCTGTGGAAGACTATCACCAAGAGATGGAGAGGCTTATGATCAAAGCCGATGTCTTTGAACCTGATGACGCAACGATGGCGAGATTCTTGAGCGGTCTAAACCGAGACCTTCAAGACCGAATGGAACTTCAGGAGTACCAGGACATGTACGAGATGTTACACAAAGCAATCCTCTTGGAACAGCAACTCAGGCGCAAGGGAACCAATCGATTCACTACCGGATCCAGTTCGCGACCGACCTACCGAGAAGACAAGGCTGTCTATCCAACGCGGCCGAAGTCCGAAGTCAAGCCCGGTCAAAGCACCGACCTCAAAGGCAAAGCCGAGGTAACCTCAGCCCGGACTCGGGATATTGAATGTTTTAAGTGCCGAGGCAAGGGTGACTATGCGAAAAAATGTCCAAACCAGAGAGCCATGATCCTTCTAGGCACTGGCGAGGTCGTGTCCGAAGCCGAAAGTGAAGCCGAGCCAAAATATGATGAGGAGCCTGAAGAAGAGTATGCGGCTGGAGGAGAGCTATTGGTAGCACGGCGAGTGCTAGTGTCACAAGAGCCGGTCCAAGAAGAGGATAAAAGGAAAAATCTTTTCCACACACGATGTATAGTCATGGGGAAGACCTGCAGCATGGTCATAGATGGAGAGAGTTGCACGAATGTGGCGAGCCAGAGTATGGTGGAGAAGCTCGGGATGCAAACCATCAAGCATCCGCATCCGTACAATCTCAGATGGCTTAATAACCAAAGGCAACTCAAAGTCACCAAGCAAGTCACCGTGCCATTTAAGATCGGACGATATGAAGATGAAGTGTTGTGTGACGTCTTACCTATGGAGGCCGGACATATTCTGTTAGGACGGCTATGACAGTTCGACCGGAAAACAGTCCCCGACGGGTTCACCAACAAACATTCGTTTGAACACCAAGGACGTAAGGTCGTGCTGGCGCCTCTATCCCTACACGAGGTCTACCGGGATCAAATCCAACTGGAAAGGAGTAGCAAAGGAAAAACTACCGTGAGTGATTCCCTAAACACCTCCACTAAAAATGAGAGTGAAACACTGAGTGAGCCACCACAAAAAGCCTTAAACACTCAACCCGTGAGAAGAGAGACTCTTTTTGTGAGGCCGAGAGAGATAAAACAGGCTGTGCTTGAGAGACAACCTTTCATTCTTCTTATGTTCAAAACCGCTTTGGCTAGCACGTCTAACTCCGAGCCGGAACTTCCGAGCAGGATTTCTTGGGTTTTGCAGGAATATGCGGACGTATTTCCCGAAGACAATCCAGGCGGACTACCACCGATCCGAGGTATTGAGCACCAGCTCGACCTCGTCCCTGGAGCGTCCTTACCTAACCGACCTGCGTACCGCACCAATCCGACAGAAACCAAGGAGCTCCAACGCCAGGTCGATGAGTTAATGGCCAAGGGCTACATCCACAAAAGTCTAAGTCCTTGTGCCGTGCCCGTGCTCTTGGTGCCAAAGAAGGATAGAACCTGGCGAATGTGTGTTGATTGCCGAGCTATCAACAACACTACGGTAAAGTATCGCCACCCAATCCATCGTCTTGATGACATGCTAGATGAACTCTATGGGTCTAGTGTGTTCACAAAGATAGATTTAAAGAGTGGTTACCATCAGATCCGAATGAAAGAAGGAGATGAGTGGAAGACCGCGTTCAAAACCAGACATGGTTTGTATGAATGGCTGGTCATGCCATTTGGCCTAACTATCGCACCTAGTACCTTTATGCGATTAATGAATCATGTGCTTAGGTCGTTCATAAGCGTTTTTGTAGTGGTCTACTTCGACGACATCCTGATATACAGTAAGAGTCTAGAAGAGCATGTGAATCATTTAAACACAAGTGCTAGAAGTCCTTAGGAAGGAACGTTTTTTTGGAAACTTTAGGAAGTGTTCTTTTTGTACGGATAACGTAGTGTTTCTAAGCTTTGTTGTCAGTTCACAGGGAATACAGGTGGACGAGGAGAAGATCAAGGCTATCCGAGACTGGCCAAGCCCCAAGACGGTTGGAGAAATTCGCAGCTTCCACGGTCTAGCCGGGTTCTATCGACGGTTTGTCCGAGACTTCAGTACGATTGCAGCCCCTCTCACCGAGGTCATCAAAAAGGATGTTGGATTTAAATGGGAACGAGCTCAGGAGGAAGCGTTCAATACCCTCAAGCACCGGCTTACACACGCACCCTTACTCTCTCTGCCTGATTTTCTCAAGACCTTTGAGATCGAGTGTGATGCATCCGGAGTGGGAATTGGAGCCGTGCTCATGCAGGAGAAGCGACCTATCGCTTACTTTAGCAAAAATCTTGGAGGAGCAACGCTTAACTACCCGACCTACGACAAGGAGCTCTCTGCTTTGGTCCGAGCTCTCCAGACTTGGAAACACTACTTGTGGCCCAAGGAGTTTGTTATCCATACAGATCACCAGTCCTTGAAGCATCTCAAAGGACAACAGAATCTGAACAAGCGACATGCGAGATGGGTTGAGTTCATCGAGACCTTCCCTTATGTGATTCAGTACAAGCAAGGAAAGGAGAATGTTGTGGCGGACGCGCTATCCCGACGTTATGCCCTGATCTCGACGCTTGATGCCAAGATACTTGGATTTGAGATGATGAAAGAAGCCTACGCAACCGACCTGGATTTCCAAGAAGTTTATCACGCCAGTTCCAAGTTTGCCTATGGAAAATATTACCAGAGTGATGGGTACTTGTTTTATGAGCATAAATTGTGTATACCTAACACTTCTATGCGTGACTTGATTGTCAGGGAGGCACACAGGAGAGGCTTGATGAGACATTTCTGAGTTCTTAAGACGCTAAGTGTGGTCCAAGACCATTTTTACTGGCCGCACCTCAGGAAGGATGTGGAGTGAATATGTCAAAGGTGCACGGTTTGCAAACTAGCCAAAGGTCGTAGCCAGGGCGCCGGAATGTACACTCCATTACCCATGTCTACCGAGTCGTGGACAGACATCTCCATGGACTTCGTCCTCGGGTTACCTAGGACCCGCCGAGGTAAGGACTCTATCTTTGTTATAGTAGATAGGTTCTCTAAGATGGCACACTTTGTTCCTTGCCACAAAACCGATGATGCTTCCAACATAGCCGATCTGTTCTTTAGGGAAATTGTTCATTTACATGGAGTTCCTAGAACCATAGTGTCAGATCGGGACACTAAATTCCTTAGTTACTTTTGGAAGACGCTGTGGGCTAAGCTAGGAACTAAATTGTGCTTTTCCACCACTTGTGACCCTCAGACCGACGGTCAAACCGAAGTGGTCAATAGGACCTTGTCAGCTCTCTTGAGATCGGTCATTAAAAAGAACCTTAGGACTTGGTAGGAATGTTTACCTCATGTTGAGTTCGCTTATAACCGAGCTGTTCATTCTACAACTTTGTTTTCACCATTTCAGTTAGTGTATGGTTTTAATCCTCTTACACCTTTGGATCTAACCCCTTTACCAATGGCTGAGCGTGAGAACATGGATGGGAAAAAGAAAGCCGATCTGGTGAAGAAGATGCATGAAAAGGCAAGGCAAAACATCGAAAGAAAGACGGAGCAATTCCAGAAGTACGCCAATAAAGGAAAGACCAAAAAGATGTTTGAGCCCGGAGACCAAGTGTGGATCTACCTAAGGAAAGAGAGGTTTCCGGAAGAGAGAAAGTCTAAATTGAAGCCAAGAGTGGACGGACCATTCACTATCCTAGAGCGGATCAACGACAACTCTTACAAGATCGACCTCCAAGGTAAGTACTCAGTTAGCTCAAGTTTCAATATTGCTGATATCATTCCTTTTTACGCAGATGAAGCCGACTTGAGGACAAGTCCTTTTCAAGAGGGAGGGAGGGGATGATAGAATCATGGAACCGATGGGAGCTCAGGATGAGGAACAGATCGAGGCTCAGCCCGGAACACAAGACCAAGTGGCCGAGCTAAGCGAAGTCGAGGTTCAGGACGGAGTACAAGACCAAGGAGCCGACCAGAACGACGTCCTGGCCATGCCAACTGGACCGATGACCAGGTCGCGTACCAAGACCAAGGAGCCGACCAGAACGACGTCCTGGCCATGCGAAGTCGAGGTTCAGGACGGGGTACAAGACCAAGGAGCCGACCAGAACGACGTCCTGGCCATGCCAACTGGACCGATGACCAGGTCGCGTACCAAAAAGCTCACGGGAGCAATCCAGCAAGTTCTCACCGAGCTAAGGAACCAAGGCCGAGCTGACGACTTAACACCCGTTCACAAAGTCATGACCGTTCTCATGTACTCTGATCCGAACTGACCTGGTTGGGGTGTTGTGTTAATACTCTTTTTCCTTACATTCGGTTTTATCCCACTGGGTTTTCCGAATGGGGTTTTAACGAGGTTAATACACACCCATCTCACGACCATGGATCGATTCGCGGCCAAGTATAACGGTCAAGGAAACTCAAAAGTCTAGCGAGAGGACGGGAAGGGTCATCCGGAAATCCAATCCTTATTCAACGTATCTTTAGATTCATTTAGTTTCATTTAATGTCTTTTAATTCTCTGTGTATGACCGATGGTCTCCTTTAGCCTCTATATAAAGGCATCGATGTACTCAGAATAATCATCACTTATCTGTTATAAAATTTTTCTTTTGAGTTTTCTCTTTTGTTCTTCAAGAACTTTGTCGATATTTTAGTGGTTAGCTATTGATCGATTTTCGGTTTATCAAATAGTTTCATCCTGCTTGACGCAGCCTTCGATTCCAAAGTGAGAGAGAGAGTTGTAGTCATATTTGGGGCTTAGGGAATTTTGGGACTTATCTCACACCCTAACATCCGATATCGCAATCCTTAATCAACTTTGTCCATCCCCTCGTTTTCAAACCTTTTCTTTTGGAATTGGGCCTAAGGATTTTCGAGCTCTTGCTCACGCTTTAGCATCTCTTTCACGAACCGGTTTGAATTCAAGGACTATCAACCTCAACCGAGCCAAATATGTGACAATTCTAGGACGGTCTTCTATCACACAATATCGCCTCTGATATGTCACAAATATGCGTCCAATATTTTTTTTTTCAAAATATCATCACAATAACTCTATAGTTTTGTAGTGTGTTATGGCTATAATTAAGCGAAAATTACAAAAATATAGTGAGAAAGAGACGTGATCCTACAAAACATTTTTGGGATTATTACTGTTATAAGTAAAAATGTTTACGAACAAAAAGTGATGATACGCTACAGTTAGAAGTGAATAAGTACGAAGATGAAAAGATTCGAGTTTCCAAAATAATTTCTAAGATTATTGATTCATTAATTTGAAATTTAGTACAACAGTTGATATATACCGATTAAATCAACGATATACAAATTCAAATACACATCAATATATACATCATTAATCGTTATAGTGAATGATGAAGAAGTAGATTTACACTATGCTTTTGATATAAAAACTTGCTCGCTAACAAGAAAGTTTGTAAGAAAGTTTTGTTCACAAACTTAATTTGCTTATCATTATTCTGCGTACTATTTTGCTTATGTGATTTCTTGTTTCGAGACCAACTAAATCTATAGCTTAAGATTGCTTAATAGTGATAAAGTCTGTGAAGTCACTTTTTGGTCATTTTACTTCACCAAATTTCTTCAAAATAAATTAAATCTTTAAAAAGTAAAGTCAGTTCCCCAATGTCAAAGTTTCCCAAAATCACTAGCTGACCTTAAGCATATGATGCCTATATAAATGAGACCAAATCATATACTTCTCATACTTACAACAAAAACAATATATATCAAAAATACAACCATAACACTAATTTAAAAAATACGATAATGAACACTTTCAAAACCCTAGTACTCCTAATCATTGCGGCTAGCTTTCTGGTTATTGCATCCAACGCTCAAAACACTGCACAAGACTACCTTAACACTCACAACACTGCCCGTTCGCAAGTTGGAGTAGCGAACGTCGTATGGGATGCAACGGTCGCAACCTACGCACAAAATTATGCAAACGCTAGAAAATCAGACTGCAACCTCGTGCACTCGAGCGGACCATATGGAGAAAACCTAGCCAAGGGAAGCAGTAGCACGTTCTCGGGCATATCAGCCGTGAATCTTTGGATTAACGAGAAACCTTACTACAACTACACTACCAATTCTTGCACAGGTATTTAACTTCTTACACAAACTATCCATATCGTACTATTCATTTTAACCTGGAAGAAATACTAAATATTATAAAAGTTTCTACTAATCTAGCTTTTGTTGAAGTAACGTTTAATCATTTACCTTATGGTTAAATTCCAATGTTTACAGATTATACAATACATGTATTTTTATTTTCTTTAACACATTACAAATATTGATTTTGTAGTAATATATAAGAACTAATAATTTAAACAAAACAAAATTGTAATAAAAGTTGATGATTTTATCATTCTTACAGAGTTACAGATTGTAAAAAACCAAAACGTAAAAGGATGTGTTCCTTTCCATGTTTGTTATGCCTTTGCTTTTATAATTTCCGGAAAAAATGTTACTAACTTTTTTAGAATAATATCGTTAAATTTGAAGATAATCACAACAATGTAACGACGTATAATAGCAAACCCATTTACTAGCAAAAATAAAAAATAAGAGCAAACGCAAAAAACAAGTGGGTGTAAGTGATTAATTAGTATATATATTAATGCTTTGTGGAACTTGAACACTACAGGTGGGAAACAATGCTTGCATTACACGCAAGTGGTGTGGAGAGACTCGGTGAAAATAGGGTGTGCTAGGGTTCAATGCACCAATGGTTGGTGGTTCGTGACTTGTAACTATGACGCACCCGGCAATTACATCGGAGAGTACCCTTACTGATCCTGAACAATATAAAATTAACATAAAATATAATATAAATAAAAATAATTATGAAAAGACGTGAGAAAATTATAAATTAATCTAATTTAAGTTACTGTTTCTTAATGAAATCTCATTTAATCTGGATATGTAATAATTTATGATTTTTTACATGAAGTGGTTGTAACGTTTGCCTTCTTTTACAATTAATCAAATGTTTTTTTTTGTTCTGTTAATGTAGCCAGAAAAGATGGTTATACTCATAAAACGTTATTAATTTCTTTTCTATATACACGCGAGTTTTTTCCGTTGGTCTAAATAAGACATGCTAGGCCTGAAAAAAATAACCGGGTCAAATATCCAAACCGGAACTAAACTGAAATAGAGATACTGAATCCGAACCGAAATCTATAAAAATATCCGATAGGTTCTAATCCTTTTTACTCAAAATATTCGGAACCGATTAATGTTGAACCGAAACCGAACCGAATATCCGAATGCCCAAACCTAAAACAAGAAGCTTCTCATTGATTTGCTAGTTCAGCATTGTAGCTCCTTTCCTTTCTTCTTTCAACTCAATTAAAAATCAGACAAAATCAAAAAGCGTTGAATATTAATTAACTTAATTACCTTTTTTTTGGATAACCAGGAAGGTCTAAATCGAATCCGTAATCTTTCTAGGTTCAGACCAACCGTTAAATTTTTTTATTCGTACCCACTGCCACTCGATTCTCGATCTTGTGACCATTTGGATTAACGTATAGTACCTTTTAAATCGAGTTATAGACCTACCTTTTTATGCATCTCTTACACACCACATGAAAGAGTTGGATCTTGAGAAGAAATCACATTCCTTGATTCATCACATCTCTTCTTCATTGGACAGTTATGATATGAGTTGATAGTCTCGATTATAAATCAAATTTTGAATTAGTGCAAAAAAGAAAAAATCAATTGAAAATCTCTAACCCACTGGGTTAAAATTTCAAATCTCGATTTCTTTTTCCGGTTTCATCGTCATTGTCAATAAAAAACAATCCTAACTAGTTTCATTTCCACTAGAATAGATTTCGCATAATACTGCCGAAAAAACAACTTAAAATTTTTAAATTGATTATCCACATAATTAATCTGTATAATTAGATTATAGATTAAAATATAGTTGATATTTTATGAGTCACACAATTAAAAATTGATTTAGATATATCACAAATCTGATAAACAATTTCTCTAAATAAATATTAAAGTTCAAAAACATAATTTCCATTACATAATAGTTTCTGTTTGTTTTTTTACTTACTACTTTTTCTATTTATTAATTTTCATTTAGATATATATTTTTTAAAATAAATAATTAAGAATAAAAAATTTATATTTTTACATTAGCACATAAAATTAACAGTGAACAATTTTTATAATTGCCAAGCCGTTATTTGTATCTTGTTCAGCTTCTCCTTCTCTGGCCAGCTTCGTTCGTTTCATGGTTCCAGAATTATAGTACGGTAGCAATTTCAGATTGATTGTTTACCGTTGGGATTATCACCGGATTTTGAAGTTGTTGTTCTATTTTTTATGTCCGAGAATTTGTTTTTTTGAATTCGCAGTCTGAAGCAGTGAAGAAGATCCTTACAGAAGAGGAACTTGAGCGGATCACACCTCCTTAGAAATCCTTTCTGATGCCAAGTCTCATCTTGTGACGTGTACTTATATGCATTCTCATTACGGTTTGATTTGAGCACAACAATTATCGATAGATATCAAAACTCAAAAAAATCCACAACAAAAGTTACTCTCTTGTGTCACAATTTGGTGGAATTTGAATCAATTTAGAGCAAGGGAGAAGGAGAGAAACCATTCGACAACACTGGAAACATGAACGGCCCAAGTGGGTAAAGACAAGGTAGTAGCCGGCTCGCTTAGCTCCACCGCCACAATAGCACTAGTCTTAACCAATATAGAGAGACTAATCTTAACCAATTTAGAATTAACCAACACCAATTCAAAACAAGGTAGATTCTCTCTGATTCACTCTTAACCATATCAACAATCGCTAACAAGGTGGATTCTCTCTTATGCATCGAAACAAAAACAGATCCCAAATGCATGTTAATTTCAAGGCTTTGATTTAGAGAAACTTATTGTGGCGGGAGTATCATAGAAGACGGTAGAGGTCTGGACGACGGTTCCTCAGACGATGGGAGAGGAGTCACCGCCGGAGAGGAATCAGGGAAAATTGCTCGAATGACCTTATTGGTTGAGGAAAATGCGGTAATCACCTCGTTATAATGAGATTAGTTTATTCAATTTTTATTTAATACAAAAACATGGTGGATAAATATTTTATTCTTCCATCTTTTAGAAATTACGACAACCAGTATCAAATCGGGTCGAATTGAATCCGAGTTGAATTTTTTTGGATCTAACCTCAGAATCTCAGCCTAAAACTACATAACTCCTCTATTTACTCTATTTACACCCAATTTTCTTCCTTTTTGCTTTTACAGTCACATTTTAAAAAAAAAATTCAAACGAAGGAGAGAGAGTAAGTTTTGAAATTCAAACGACGAAGAAGACAACTAGATAAAGCTAAGGGATACAAGCAGTCAATTCATCAACTTCTTGCATTTCTAAACTTTTGAATTTAAATAATATTTTCATAATAGCACAAATGATAAACGAATATCTTATTTTATTTTAACATAATCAATTGATCTAAAGTATCAAATATTCAATATTGATAAATATTTATATCATATAATTATATGATGTAGCAAGTTATAATTATGCATTTATAATTACAGTCTTATATGAATTACTTTGTGATATTAAAAAATAATTTGAAATAATTAAATGAATAGGTTAGCCAATTGTTGAAGTTGAAGTCCTTGATTGAATCCTCAAAAATAATAGAGAAACCAGATATCGTTGGAAAAGAAGAAAGGAAAAGAAGAAAGGATGAAGAAGAAGTTTTGTGTCGCGAAAGAAAGAATCAGAGAAGAAGAAGAAAGTCAAAGGGAAAGAATAGTGAAAGAAAGAAGTTGGGCTTCTCATGTTAGTCAAGTGGGCCTGCGAAGTTGTACAAGCCCAAACAAATAAAGGAGGAGGAGTGTGTGTATGTGTTGAGATGATTAAGTCTATAAGTTAGAGCAGTTAGAGCAGTTAAAGTTGTTGTAATAATTAAGTAAGGTTGCTTGTACAACTAGTCTAGTACTAGAGGTGTGGCATAGAAGAAGTGGTTAAGTCTAGAGTCCAAGTGAGTTCAAGTATCAAATAGTATAAGTGTATGTGTTGTGTTTTTGTAAGAAAAGTATCGATTGATCCATATATGAAAATGTAGTCTTTAAAAGTTTTCTCTCTAAGTTTCTTTTGTTTTCACTTAGAAAAATCCAAACAACAAACAAAGAGTGAAAGAGAGAACTAGAGAGATTGAGAGTGTGTGAGAGAGAAAAGAGAAACAAAAGAGAATGAGAGAAAGAGAGAATGTGAGAATGTCAACACCAATTCATAAATATATAGATTGTCTATGTGTAAATCTAAATTTACATAATAACAAAGTTCATAATTAATATTAGATCAATATCAACTTAATTAACTCATACTTTTATTCTATTAATATACAAATCTATACTATTCAAAGTTAAAAAATGATAACAAAATTCTTGATTTAAAAAAGAAAAATAACAAAAATAAATTTTATTAAAAAAATTATATTAGAAATAAAAATTAAAAATTCCCGTGCGGACGCACGGGGTTAGAATCTAGTTTAGGAATTACGACTCAACCAGTATCAAATCGGGTCGAATTGAATCCGAGTTGAATTTTTTTGGATCTAACCTCAGAATCTCAGCCTAAAACTACATAACTCCTCTATTTACCCTATTTACACCCAATTTTCTTCCTTTTTGTTTTTACAGTCACATTTTCTAAAAAAATTCAAACGAAGGAGAGAGAGTAAGTTTTGAAATTCAAACGACGAAGAGGACAACTAGGTAAAGCTAAGGGATACAAGCAGTCGATTCATCAACTTCTTGGCTAGGTAAGTCTTAATTTTGTGCCGATTACTTCTTTTTCACTGAGATTGATAATTGCATGTCGGTTATATCTTTTGTAGGGACATAGGATGGCTCGGACAAAGCGACCAAATGTTGAATTGCGAGATGAAATTATCAAAGAAGAACAGAATCATGAAGAAGTAGAACAGAATCAGGAAGAAGTAGAACATAATCAGAATGAAGAGGAATCTGACGATGGTTTTATTCAAAGGAGTCGAGAAGGAGACAGAACCCGAAGGGGTTACTGGTGGACAGAAGGAGACAGAACCAGAAGGGGTAGCTGGTGGACAGAAGTAGACAGAAATATGTGCTGATACTTCAGAGAAGAAAATCGAAGGCATTGCTGATGGAGAGAAGGAGAAACCCAAGAGGATCAGGCGAAGGTGTGGTTATACAACTAGTCATCAAGTTGATTTCGACGCTGGCTCATCTTAACAGGTTATAAAGAGGAAACACCAAGTAGTGAAATCAAAATACAAGTCATCACCTTACACTGAGGGGAAGTAGAAGGATGTGAAGAAGGAGAAGAAGGAGAAGAAACCAAAGACTGGGTAATACCCGTGGGTGCACTTGTTTGTTTTTTTTCTTATGGTGGTACTTGGATTCGTACATTTGGTATCACTATGTATAACTTTTTATGTTGTGGTGTTTTATTTCGTAAAACTGGTAATACTATTAATCAAGTTTCAGCATTTGATTTCGTAGTACTGGTAATCCTAGATATAACAGTTCTTCTTTGAAACCATTAAAACATTTAGTACAACATATTCATAAAGCTAAAAATCAAAACTAACAAGCAAATATTGAATTATGTAATCAAAATTATAATTAAAAAAAAAAACTAAAATTAAGACAAGGTGATAGTATGGTATATTAAAGTTCTTCTTTAAAACCATTAAAACATTTAGTACAACATATCCATAAAGCCAAAAATCAAAAACTAACAAGCAAATCTTCAAATAATTAAAA